CCAGGAGTGACCTAGTAAGAAGGTTCCCAGAACCTCTCAAAGTGGCCACACGGCTGGAGAGCAAGTGATCAACTCCTGATCTTGTGGGGCACATTCCATATTCAAGCCATAGCAAGAATCTTCATAACCTCTTGTATGTCTTAGCAGACGTGTTCATACGTGCCTTGGTTTGTTTTCTTCTGTTACAGCAAAACACCTGAGACCAGGTAATTCATAAAAAGCAAAGTTGAAGCTAGGCATGGTGGTACATGGTTGTTAATCCACCAGCTGGGAGGCTGAGAGGATTGTGAGTTCAAGGTCGGCTTCAACTCCATAGGGAGATCCTGTATCAAAGAAACCAAAGAATCTTTTGAAGTTTATTTGGCTTGCAGTGTCAGAGGCTGGCATTTTCTTGGCATCTGGTGAGGGCTTCTTCATTTTCTTCCTGTCCTGACCTTTCTGTTACTATTTTCAAGAATTTTTACTTTTGCAAATATTCCAGACCCCAGAGTATGTGGTCACTTTTGTTAAAGGAATCACCTTTCTAGAGAGTTCTAGATGACAATAAGTCTGTAATACAGGCGTGTGTGGTGCTCATTCCTTTGTATAGAATCAGGTTTCCAACTGGTATTGTCTTCTACCTGAAGGACGTCTTTCCACGTTTCTACACGGCAGGTCTACCGGGGTGACCGTTTCCATCCTTTGTCTAAAACGTCTGTTATGCCTTCATTTTTGAAAGATTTTGATTGACATTTGACTTGCAGGTTGACATAATTCTCTCAGGACTTTACAGGTGTGGCTGCATGTGCGCTTGTTCCCAAAAAGATGTCTAACAGCCTCATCTTTATTTTCTCTGTAGGTAACAGGGCCCCCTTTTCTTTGGCTACTTTCAAGATTTTCTCTTTGTCACTGGTTTTGAGCAACTTGGTTATGATGTGTCACATGCGGTTTTCTTCATATTCCTGTGGGTTTCTGGCGATCAAGTTGGAAGGTCTTAAGTCTTTCTTTTCTTTTGGGGGGATGGCTGGGACTGGGGTTTGAACTCAGGCTTCATGCTTATGAAGCAGGTGCTCTAGCACTTAAGCCACACCTCCAGTTCATTTTGCTGTAGTTATTTTGGAGATCAGGACTTGAGTCTATTTTCCTAAGCTAGCTTGGAACTGTGATGCTCCCCATCTCGGGCCTCTCAAGGAACTGGGATTACAGGTGTGAGCCACCGGAGCCTGGGTGTTACTTCCTACTGAGGCAAGACCTTCTGAGGACCCTGTGAGCTAGGAGTTTATACCAGCTGATAGTGGGACAAGCCCTTGTGGGGGTCTGGCACTGTCTGCTCTGGGGCTCTGCAGTGCTGCCTTCCTGGGGCCCTCCAGCCTCCCTTACATACATGTTCTGTGTTCTGCTAAACACCTGAGACCATTTGCAAATCCCTGTGCTTCTCTCTCTCCAGCTTTCTTCTCCTTGGTACTGTGTCCTGTGAACTCTTCCTGCCTTGGGTTCCCTGGTCTCTACTCCAGCTCCTCAGTGCAGAGAGTCTGCTAGGTTCTGCCTCAGTTTACCCTCTGTGCAGTAGCCATACTCAGAGGCCATTGTGGGGGTTCATCTTTTTGTTTACCACATCTCAGGGCTTACTGTTCTCCTGTGCATGATATCCACAGTCTTGAAAAACATTTAATGTATTTTGTCTGTTTTTTAAAAAATGATTTTTTCAGAAGGAATAGTAAATGTTGTCTTTGTCAACATGGAGTGGACTAGCAGTGGAAATCCTATGCTTTGTTGCACATTTTATGTTTTTATTTTCATACATTTGCACATTTTTTTCATTTGAAATGTATTCTGCTATGCACTGGAGGCATGGTTCAAGTGGTAGAGCACCTGCCTTGCAAGTGCAAAGCCCTGAGTTCAGAACCCCAGTCCCAGCACCACCAAAAGAAGAAACATACTTTGCTGTGAGGTTATTTATTTATTTACGGTGGTAGTGGGGTTTGAGCTTAGGGCCTTGTGTTTGCTAGGCAGACACTCTACCACTTGTTTCCGGATGCTGACCTAACAGCACATATTTACGTGGTATCTGGTTTGATTTGTCTGCCCTCCTCCCCCCAGTTCTCACTATGTAACCCAGGCTGGGCTTGATGTCATGATCCTCCACCATGTCGAGTTCTGATTTATCATCTTAAGCATGTGTTACATTCCCGACTATGTCAGGATCTGTTTTAGGGTTCTCTTCTCTTGTGTATGTTCATCAGGCGGCAGGAATACACTCTTGCAGTAATGCGGGTTTTTATTTGTTATTTAAATGGCACCCGGATCAATGTCAGGGCTTTGTGCACACTAAGCAGACCTCTGAGAGCTCCCTCCTGTCCCAGCCCTTGTGTGCTTATTCTGCCTGCTTTTTCTTTTCTTGTTTGGTTTTTTGTTTTGTTTTGTTTTTTTGGATGCACTGGGGTTTGAATTCAGGGCCTCAACGCTTGCTAGGCAGGCACTCTGCCACTCGAGCCACTCCACCAACCCTTGTTTGTGAAGGGCTTTTTCAAGATAGGGTCTCCTGAACTATTTGTCCAGGCTGGCTTTGAACCTCAATCTTCCTGATCTCTGCCTCCTGAGTAGCTAGGATTACAGGCGTGAGCCACCGATGCCCAGCCTTTGCACGGAGCACTCCTGGCACCCTCTGTGAAGGTGGCCAAAGCCCTGCTGCTCCTTGGGTATGGATACCCTATGACCCCGGCCAGGCATGGAGGAGAGGGCCTCCTGGCCCTGTCCTCCTTCCTTCCCCAGCGTGCACACGTGCTATCTGCAAACCTTCTTGGGAATCCGCACTCATCATCCATGCCCCAAGAAGGAAGGTGTCCTGTTGGTGGCATTTGCACCATCAGCATGCTGAATGCCAGAGCTGTCACTTGTGAGAAATGCCTGGCAGCCCGTTAGAGCAGGTAGAAAAAGCAGCCCAAGGTAGTGGGTTGATGAGTGCTGTTGTGCAGTTCTTGAAGACTGAATTAATGTGGTTTGGCAGCTGTTGGGTTTGCCAGGATTGGTGAGGATGCATGCATTCCGTGGGATGATGTATGTGGAAATGCTTCGTCTGCAGTGTAGAGGGGATTTGCAGTTTTCTGCGGATCGGGTGGAATTTTTAGAAACTGTTTCCCTCCTACAGCCTTGGTAAACCAGGTAGGATGGAGTGGTCAGTTAATTTAGGAAGGGGTTAGATAAGCACAAAAACTTAGTAGAAACTGTATTCCAGGTTAGTGACAGTCTGAAAACTAAGGTCCATTTTAAAGGAAGATGAGGGTAGAGGGCAGGGAAATGAGGAGGGAAGAGGACTGGTTGTCCCTAAGTTGCTGTCCCTGGCTTGCACGTGCTCTGGTCCAAAGAACAGGGGTTATGTTGCAGGAGGTGAAGCCAGTTTGCTGAGCTGAGAATGCAGGGGTGGTGTGGGCTCTACATATTCCTTCTGTCTTCCCTTACTTGTCACCTCTTACAGGGACCTTTGTTGAATGGCATTGAATTTTAGGGCAAATAATGCACTAACATGGCACTTAACTGTTGCTCTAAATGAACATAACTCTCACTCTAAATGCATGCAGAAGAGCTGGTCTCACAGCCACTAGGTGCATCCTTGTCTAAAGGCAACTAATGTTGCCAGTTTCTCCTGACTTTCCAGAAATAGACTAGACTGCAAACATATGTATCTATTCTCGCCAGACTCAGAAGGAAAAATACAAACTGCTGTTTGTACATTGTTCTGTTTGCACAGTACTTATGAGCAGACTGTTTTGTATTGCTGTATACAAAACTGGCTCATTGGACTTAATTACTGCTTAGACCAGAAGGTATATGGTTTTAAAGGATAAAAGTATAAAAAGTAAATGTGGATTTAAATGCATATATCAGTTTAAATGTTTAACAATTTACTTAGGCAGCTCCATATTAATGAACATTCAGGTTATTTTTAATCAAAGGTTTTCATTTCTTGTGGTACTGGGGATCAACTCAGGGCCTTGCACCTTGTAAACAAGTTTCCTACTCCCAGCAAAAAGGTCTGGACAGCACAGTCTTTGCAGTACGTCCTCCTGCTAGATAAAACATTAGGTGGGAAGCCTTCCCAAGGCAGTGATCAATGAAATAACTTCACAGAATGGCAGCAAGCAGAATAGAGGAGAAGTTGGTGTATATATTTAGGTTATCAGCCTGAAAATGGAAAGGTCCAGCCTCAATGTAAGGTTTTAGTTCTAGGGAAGGAAGTAAGAGTTACGGGATTTCTCCAGGTGTCCCTCAGTGAGGGAGAGTCTTGGCCTCTTGGAAGAATGACAGTGAAACAGTCTTCTGTTTTAGTTTGAGATGGAAGACAAAGTAACTTTGGATGGTGTTCAGACTACCTTTTACTCTCATTACTTTTGTTTCGAGGGAGGAAGACTTGAGGCCTTTTGCTTGGTTCACAACTTTGGTTTTTCTTTTTTTTTGGTAGTACTGTGGGGTTTGACTCAGTTTTTTTTTTTTGGTATTGAGGACTATTGCATGTGCTGGGCAGGTACTCTACTGCATGAGCCAGGTCTCCAACCTCTGTTTTCTTAATTGAAATAGCACATATACACTTAAAAAATGAAATATTACTAACTGAGTGATATAAGTAGTCACTTCCCTGTCATTTATTTTTATTTTTTTTTTTGCACTACTGGTTTTGAACTCAGGACCTCACACTTGCCATAGCAAGAATCTTCATAACCTCTTGTATGTCTTAGCAGACGTGTTCATACGTGTCTTGGTTTGTTTTCTTCTGTTACAGCAAAACACCTGAGACCAGGTAATTCATAAAGAAGCAAAGTTGAAGCTAGGCATGGTGGTACATGGTTGTAATCCCACCAGCTGGGAGGCTGAGAGGATTGTGAGTTCAACGTCAGCTTGAATTCTTAAAAAAGTTGCCCAACATATATTAAAGATGTTGTGTCATTTTATGCTTATGTTCCTGTGATTTACATGTGAGTAGATTAAAAGCCACAGTTTGGAAGATTTTAATAATCTCTCTAATTTTAATGCAGAAGCTGAATGACAGAAAAATTACTGAAACATAAACTATGCATGAATTCCTCAGGAAAGGCTGGGGTTCCTAGCTGCTTCGGTGCTGGATAGCTGCCAGACTCTGCAGAACAGTTAGTGGAAGATGGTATGCTCTTGATTAGGTTCATTTGACCTAAAGGAAAGTTGCCAGAATGTCAAATAGATGTACAACAAAGTCAGTCCTTAATTCTACCTTGTACTTTAGATATGCAAAGTACTTTTTATACTGGAATAGAAGATAATTCCCAATGTCCACTGTGGTGTCATTCTGAAATGTCTAGATAATCATGTCATTCACCTCAACTGGGCATGGTGGCCCACACTAATAATCCCAGCACTTTGGAGGAGATGGAGAGGATCTTGGTTTGAGAACAGCTGGGGCAAAAAGTTATCAATACCCCATCTCCACATACTAGCTGTTCCTGGTGGGAAGCATGTGCAGTCCCAGCTATGTGGGAGGCATAAGCAGGAGGATCTTGATGCCAGGCCACCCCAGCAAAAAGTGAGACCGTATCTAAAAAATAACTAAAGCAAACAGGTCTGGAGGTGTGGCTCAACTTGCAGAGCACTTACCTGGTACACAAAATGCTCTGAGATCCAATTCTAATGTCTCTAATAGCAAAATAAAACCCAAAGAGCCATAGAAAAGGGATAAAGCCACACATGTTGAACATTATAAAAGCCACCAACTCCCCTTTGTTGAGCCTCCCTCTATTGTAAATCTTCTCTGTCTGAGGTGTTTGGTTTTCACCTAGTGCAGGGCACTTACTATGCATTTTGTTTCTTTAACCGTAGCTTTTAGACACAAAGATTGTAACCCTATTCACTTCCCTGGAGGTCATTTTAGTATAAAATGTGAACCTCCACACCTTTGTGAAAGTGAACTATCTTCCATAATCCTGTGATGAGAAGGCCACATTTGCCCTTGTAGGCAATTGGCTGCTCACCTGCCTATCCCCTCCACCTTTCCCTTCGTGTGGGCAGTTAGCCCAGGACAGGCCCCACTTGCACACGTCAGGCCAGCGTGCCCACGGGATCCCAACACTGAAGAGACAGAACTTGCTTTAGCCCCAGTGCCTCCTTCTGACCTCTTACATCATCCTAAACAGGACACTCTGCCACTCAGGGCCTCACTGTGCCCCAGTAGCCCCTCTTCTGTGCCCCACCCCCAATGAGACATCTTTGCATCTACACTCTAGGGCTGCCACCTGTGTGAGATAACAATTGGAAGAGACTTGGATTTGGCAGGGTGTTGTGCCATTTCATGGAATCCCAGCACTTGTTTTAGGAGTTAGCTTGATCTTAGGCAGTTAGAGCTGGGGGCCACAAAAGACTACTTAAAATGTGCAAGAAACAGATGTTAGGCAAGAGAACAGAGATAGCACAGAACAGTGCCGAGAATGTGAGAGTGAGTTCAGAATAGGGAGGGAATAAGGGCCCACCCAAATCCCTACCTGTTAGAAAGCCATCTCCAGGGTCCACCCAAGGGCCTGACTGTCAGAAAGCTGTCTCTGTGGCCCACCCAAAAGTCTCCCTATCAGAAAGGTATTTCCAGGGACTTTCAAAATCTGCCCCAAAAGTGTGCCAGAAACTAATAAAAATTTCTAGATGTTGCAATTCCTACAACTCAGTGTTTCTGAGTCCCAACCATGCAGGTGCTCTTTCTTTCTTACTTCAACATACTTCTTTCTCACTTGCCACTCTTGTTGTCCATTGTCTGGGATTGTCATTCTTCGACAGACCCTGGAAAATAACCCAAGGAACTCAAAACCTGCATTATATTTTGGTGTCTTGGCTAGGAAACAAGAAGCTATTTGAGGGTGAGTGGATCCCCAGCCAATAAGTCTCTGGATTGCTCTATCCCTTTGAGAGGATGGGCCTCACACATCCTGCTCTCTCCTGTGCAAAAAGGGATCTAAGACAGGTAAATGTGAAGGGAACTTGTCCTTAACTACTGGTGGTCCCTGGCTAGGGTGACTCTCTGTTGGGACCCGAAGGTTAAGAAAGCGTTGACCTGCATCTTTGTCACTTCCAAAGGTGGCCAAATCTTGTGGAACCCCAGGCTGCTCCTGGGCACAGTGAACAGCCAGATTTCTCTCTCTTCCTTCAATCTTGTTTGTCCCAAGGGAAGGGGGACCACCATACGCATAACAGAAATGCTCCTTAGCTCCCTAGGCACGCACCTAGAAGTGTTCTCTTTTTTGTGCTGCCTGCTCTGATATTCCCTGTGAACCACTGGGAAACCTTCCCTCCAGAATTCCAGTACTAATCTATGCTGAGACAGGACCATGGCCAGTTCTAGGCCAGTCCTAGCTAGTTAGGGAGACCCTGCCATGCTGTAGATAGAATATGGATAGGAGGGACAAAACAGCCAACGGATTTCCCTTGTGCTTTGTTTGTATAGCAAACTGGCCTGTCAGTATAAATGTGTAATCTGTGCTTCTTCACAAATAACTTTCTATTTTGTATTCTTTTTCAAGATCGGCGTGGAGTTGGGTGTCAACACCAGGGGATGAAGAAGTGGTTTTAGTTGTAGAGTTTCATATCATACAGACTTGTTCTGGGCACAAGTTTTTCTTTAAAGTTTTTTTCTCTTCTTTTCTTTTATATATTTGGGGGGGGGGTAGCACTGGGGTTTGAACTCAGGGCTTCATGCTTGCCAGGCAGGTGCTCTTAATGCTGGAGTCACTCCATCAGCCCGTTGTAGTGAGGGCTTTTTTTCCAGATAGGGTCTCGGGAACTGAGCTGGTCTCTTACCGCTGTCCTCCTGATCTCTGCCTCCTGAGTAGCTAGGAATGTAGGTACGAGCCACAGACACCTGGTCCCCTTTATATTTTTTAGCGTCATGTAGCATGATGGAAAGAGTAATGATAAGGGGTAGCAATTATGAAAATGCTACCTGGTATTAGGCTGGGGTTTCTATTTTAGGGGGTCCAGTTTTTGCTTTGCTTTGCCTTGCCTTTTGGAACTGAAAGCATGGGTGCTGGCCAGGTGGCTTGAGTGCCTGCCCAGCAAGCGTGAGGCCCTGAGTTTAGAACCCAGTATCATAGGATAATGAGTGGGTAGGGGAGCAAGGAATTGGGGAGAAACATGTCCTGCTCCCCATGCAGAAATCTTCTGACAGTGATGTGCGAAGTCCAGAGAAGGGAAAGGCCAGACAGAAATTCTCTAGGTGCCAGGGTGAGGTAGGGGGATGAGGGGTGAGGTATGTGGAGCTCATGTCTATAATCTTAGCTACTCAGGAGGCAGATAGCAGGTGGATCATGGTTCGAAGCCAGTGTAGACAAATAGTTCTCAACCCTGTCTTCACAAAACACACCACATTTAAAAAAAAAAAAACATGGCTGGGGAGGCTGGTGGAGTAGCTCATTTTGTAATCCTTAGTCCAAAAACCAGTACTCCCTCACCACCCCCACCACCCCACAGACAAAAAAAAGAAATTAATTCTCCTGTCTGGCAGAATGGAGGGAGGAAGTGCTCAGGCGTTGAGGATTGAGTAAATTGTCCCCAAGTGGATGGTGTGGCAGATGTGCCTGGAGAATGACTTCCTGTCACTTAAGTGAACATTTTAAGAGAGGAAAACCTGGAGTGATCTCAAGAATAAATTTATAGGATCACATAGAGGTAAGCCAAGAAGAAGAGGAGGAGGGAGAGCGACATTAGGGTGGTGGAGTGGTGGGGCAGGCATGGGGCAGGCTGGCCCAGGGCAGTGGGGCTCAGCTGCTGGAGCAGGCTGAGGGGGCCACGGCATTGGTGTGAGCTGAAGCTGAAGCTGGATTAGGAGGTGGGTCAGGACCTGGGGCTGGGGCTGAAGCTGCATCCAGCCCAAGCTTTGGAGGCCACTGGTGAGCCTGGGCTAGACTGACCTGACACAGGTACAAGAGGAGGAAGGATGAGGAAGAGTCCCCTGTTCTTTTAGGGTCACAAATCCTGCCCACTGCCTTCCAGAGCAGGTGCTATCCACAGGGTCTCCCCTAGGAGTCTTCTGCCAAGGCAGAGATCTCCCTGATGCTGTGCCCTTTTCCCACTTGAAGAAGCTCTGTTCTGTGTGCCTTTCCAGCCCGTTTTCTTTTCGCTTCAGGTCTCGGTCCTCCTCTCCTCATGGGCAGGCTGTGCCCCAGTGAGCTCCACGTGGAGGAAGTCAGCTGGGTGCACGAGGTGGGAGCCAGTGAAGCTCAGTCTCACCTTGGGCCAGTGCCCTGTTGGGTGGGTCCTGATGAAGCCCCGGGAAGAGGGCTGGAGCCAGGCATCCAGGAGGGTGGGCACAACCTGAGAGTAGTCTTGGGGAACTGCAAGGTGAGAGGCCTGGCCTTTTCTCTCCCTTGGAGTGGTGGCTATGGAGACGAGGATGAGGCTTGGCCCACACTCTCGCCCATGCCTACCTCCAGTGTGCAGTCCTGGTGGAAGGCCCTGCCCACGCGGGAGGAGGGTTGACCTGGCCTACAGAGTCCACAATGTGAGGGGAGGGGGGTTTCATGACGTATGCATGGCTAGCTCCTGAGCGAGCGAATGAGGGGAGTCTACTGTGTGCAAACCTGACTCCCATTTTTGCTCCTGAACCTTCTGATCTGTCCCACCCACTCACTTGACTGTACCACATGCAGGTCTCCTCACCTCAGCACCAATGTGCCCTACATCTGGTGAGGCTGTGAGGCCAATCGAACCCCCCTACCTCCCTGGGTGCTGCCTGCTCTGCTAGTCCCTGTGACTCACTGGCCATTGTCTCCTAGAGTTAACAAATCATTACATAGCAGTTCCTTTGTTTTGGCTATTAAAAGTAACGTAGAGATGTAGTCATGAAGAACATCTTAACAAAGAAAATTCCAGGTCTGGATGGATTTACTGCTGAATTCTACAAGATCTTTAAAGAAGAACTAACACCAATGTTTCTCAAACTATTCCATAAAATACTAAAGGAAGGATGAAATACTACCATACTCATTCTACAAAGCCAATAACATCCTAAAACCAAAACCAAGTAAAGACACATCAAAAAGATGATTATAGGCCAATATCCATGATGAACATATACACAAAATTCTCAATAAAATAGTTGCTAATCAAATAAACAGCACATTAAATAGATCCAAAACCATGATAAATAGGTTTCATTGCAGGGATGCAAGGAAAGTA